AACGCAACTCGTTTTCTGAACGGATGCAAACCTTACCCACTTGCTGTTTTTGCCATTTGATTCAGCCGCAAACAGAAATGTTGAGATAGTTGAGTCACATATTCGGAAAAGCCTCTTCAGAGCAGTTTTCTTATCCTCAAACCCACCATGCATCCAAATCTGTTGCCTAGCTCCAGGCGCTTCGTCCTCTAAGGCCGACGTCTTCGTTTCCGGTTGCAACTTCGCCTACGTCAAACAGTCTTACCCGAAAACAAACTGTAGGATACCCTTGGCGAATTTTATATGCATATTCCCGATTGCATTGTTCCGCGGCTTCTCATTGGGACATAGGGTTGATGTCATTCCTAACGCAGTTTCATCGACTTTGTCTTATAACCTAGCAAAGCAAAATGAAGTAACTGCTGCCAGCCCAAAGAACTTGACCCCTTCAGTTACAGAAACGCACCGGAAACCGAGCTTTTTTGTCCCGGGGGAACCCAACACATCGTATTGCAATTTCGCCGATAGCAAGAGGCGGTCGTTTGTTCCCTACAAGTCCTTCCGCGCGCTTGCGACAAATGTTGGTCACAACCGCAGCAATATTATAAAGTCTCCGCCTACTCCCCACAGCCCCTTCTTCTGGCACGAAACCACTTACCGTTTAGTATGGTTTCCCACCACATTTTGCCTTTGAAAAGCAACTCCCACTCTTGTTGTGAAGGGCAATTATGAAAAAGTGAGTCATATTCGTAATCAATTAGGCTGTTTTGATTGTATTCTTTGTGAAATGGAGAACCCCGTCAGATCTTCAACAATGTCCCATATCCATTCCCAATGTGTGTTTTTCTTTTGCTTGCTGCTAAGTTAGCAGCTCAACTAATGCAATTCGTTTTGTGTCCATCTTCCTGACTGATGACATGGCTCATGGACTAGATGCTTCTTGGTTCCACCATTCTGAACGGGTCCGATGGCGCGAGACGATATTCGGAGCATCCGGATCCGTGGGGTCTAGTGATTTCGGATGTATTTGAACTTGCCATTATCCATCCGAAGCGCAAATGATAAAAAGTCAATCTAGCTCTGCCTCAACTTTGAGGAATTAAAGGGAGCGTTCCCGGCTGAAAGTCAGAGGATTCTTGAGCAGTGTCTATAGGTCGACATAATAAAAATTTGGGGTGGTTTGCTCCAAGCACTCACAGTTCTCCGGGGAAAACGCCCACCTCAAGGCCGAGTATTGCCCCTTTTTTGTCGTGAGGACGATAAATGAATGAAAATGTAACTTGCCTTTATTGAACTGAGCGGCTAAGGGTTAATCACCACACAAAAGACGATGATCTGACCTCTAGAGATTGGAAAAGCCTACGCGTCAATTTTAGTCTATAAACCGAAGGCCGGTAGCTACCTGGTTGGCTAGGCACTGGACACTTTCAAAGCCGTTCGTTATTACGCCTTTACAAGACTGGATGTGACGAGGATGCTGGTGTTGCATACAGACACGCAGGATGATCTCTGTAGACCTCAGATACCCCTTTTGATTCATTCGTGGGTTCTCAGTTCTCAGCCCTTAAGGAAAACGCGGATGGCTTGTTTCTGCGGTGATGCCTCATGTATTTAAACAGCACATTTCTGTTTTTTCTGGCGAGATCCAGAATGGTGGCTTATATTCGTATGCCCCATAGCCGGATTTCTACTATACTATACTAGGAAATGTCAGCTCGTTTTCTGTGGCTTCTAAGTCAACTTTTTGAAAAATAGACGGGACCCCTTTTCCAGAAGCTGCCAAATCCTGTCAGGCAACCTGCTGCTCATCCGACTGCGCGCTGGTTTCTTGGGGCGAACATCGCTTCAGCCTCGTGAACTTTCTGGACAATGGTCCTATATAAGTCTTACGCTGAATCTGGCCTTAGTTTAGTTTGTTCAAGAAAGGTGCACATTCCTGAAAGTTCGCACGACAGAAGTTTTGAATCCATGTTTCGGGTTCGAGATTTCTTGCCCAAAATCAGATGAAATCGGGGGTCAGCGCACAGTTGTTGCTATGTTCGGTAGTGCGTTACTTATCACCTGATCACCGAAACGTCTTCGGTTGGTAATGCCTAATATAGGATGAATGGTTGTTGGCCTGGCGGCATCTGGTGAGTGCAACGACGTGTTAATTTCAAGCGCTCTGTTGAACGACATGTTGAGTCCAAGCGTTCTATTGATCGACTTCTGTCTGTGCCGCTGCAGAAAATCCACTCGCTCCAACGCGCTGGAGCTCAATCAAGGAGGCCTTTGCAGCGTTGAAGTCGTCTCTCAGTAGGAGATGGGCGGAGCGTTAGCTGAAAGAGGGTTGCTCAAGTGTTCGTAAGAGGAATCGGTCATCTTCCGGAGGACTCGAAAGGCAAAGGTATTCCACGCTTAGAATGATGTAATTTGGCCCATGTAGCGAAATTCGGATCCACAACGCATCACAAAAGGGTGCAGGAGTGGCAGCAAAGACGATAAATGTGAGTACAAGGCAACCCCAGCCCCGCTCGTTTTGGGTCAGTTCGAAAAACAGGGCAGTCACCCTTCGAAATCTCTGCGTCAGACACATCTGGTGTGGGCCAGGTCTCTGTAAGTGTGACTATGGATGGCTGTTCAAAGTAAACTGACTGTTAAGCATCACAAACTTTGCTGCAAAGGCTGGGGGAGTTTGCAAGCTAGCATTTCAATAGCCTCTGCTGCCGCCAAAGGTGAGGATTCGAGGTTTGTTTGACCAGGGAGTTTGGCAGACTTAGTAGTTGTGCGTCGGTTTTGAGTCCACGGCTACGAATGTGCCCCTGAGACACTCGCCTGCATGCTGTCTTGGCGGTTTCGAGGGTCGCTTTTCATGTGCTGGTTATTTTTGCACTGTTAGAGCCCGGTTTGTGCGGGCCATTTATTTTGGAGGAAGAAGTTTTTCTCCATGGGCAAAAATTTCACCGTTGTTACTCATAGCTCTTTCAGTACCGCCTTTCGAACAACCTGGCTTACTGTTGATCAAATATCTAGGGCAAACCTGCGTCTGTTTGGTTATTTCAGGCGTATCAGCGCGGCTTGAACGGGAGGGTGTTTCTGCGAAGCCCTGAGCACTGAGTGGCAGCACCAAGAAATATTTTTACGGCGCTGTCACGAGACTCGTTTTCGCGAGGGTTGCACCCCTGCTAGCCAGCAGTTTTCTAATTTGAGAAGCCTTAAGTTATTCTGTTTGACTGAAATCTTCTTTCTTTTGTGTTTGTGTGGACTCCTGAGTCTGTTTCTGCGAAGCCCTGAGCACTGAGTGGCAGCACCAAGAAATATTTTTACGGCGCTGTCACGAGGCTCGTTTTCGCGGAGGGTTGCACCCTGCTAGCCAGCAGTTTTCTAATTTGAGAAGCCTTAAGTTATTCTGTTTGACTGAAATCTTCTTTCTTTTGTGTTTGTGTGGACTCCTGAGTCCCTCGTGATGGCCAAATGGATGTACGGAGGATTTTCCGGTTCGATGTTGACAGGTTGTGGTTTTAGCTGTCAAGGTCATGGACGACGACTGTGTTCACAGGCATATAGGCCACCTTTGATGGAGTGGAGCCGGCTTGCTTCCCTTCTGGCGTACCTATCATGCGTGAAGCATGTGTGGTCATGCTTTGTGAGGATACTATCAAGGACCGACTACGCCAACTTCGTTGGCGTGCTTTTACTGGAGAACGACCCTCAGAAGACCTGTTTGTTTTCCCTTACGGGCCTGTCTACTAGAGATACCGTGATCATCTTTATTACTGCGTCAGAGAGCTATGGGACCTTCATCGCAACCAGTGGACCCGGGAGTAGCGCGAGGTACTCGTTCAGCGAAGAGAGTTGTTTAGCAACTTTTGCCTGGGTCGTTGCGTTCTTTGCGTCTGCATCATCCAGCGCCTTAGAAAGAAGCTCCAGTTTCCCATCGAGTATCCCGATTGAAGCGGAATATTTGCGCTGGTCATTCTGATTCAGCACTGGGGTTTGGGTTACGTTTTTGGTGGCCCTCTTCTTAGTTGCGGTATGCCTCGCAAGCCTTATGTAGAGGCTGCTCGCGCAGACAACCCGGTCAGGAGAGTTAGCTATTTGGCCTATATAGTCATTCTGTAAATCCGTGCATTTAACGTACCACCAGGCCTTGCAGGTGTGTCATTGCATACCGCTTTTTGGTTCGACGGACAGCCATTTCGCTCACATGTATTGTGTTCTATCGACGCTTCAAAGAGCAAACTGTTTTCATTAGATTCATGATTGGGACTGGGTGCAAAATAGGAATTGAAGGTGAACCAGCGGAGGTTATCAAATATACGTCACGTTAGAGTGAAGAAATTCAGCAAGTGACACGTGTGTGTTCTATAAACGGGCCGGTTTTCCGAAAATGACCTCAAAATCCATGAAACCCACCGAAACTCTCAAACTCTATGAAACTCCTGTCGGGGAGGCCGGCAAACATCCGGACCAGCCAATCAATCAGTCGGTCAACGAATCAAATAATCAATCAGTTCAGCAGCGGTCGAGTTTTCAGGCATGCCACAGAAGAGCGGTGAACGATGATAAGCGTTGAGGAACTTTACGTAAGCACGACAGACGATAATAATTGTTCAAGCACTTCAAAGAATTATTGTTGTCGATTGTGTGCTCGCTAAACGCCGACCCAGTAGCCTGGATCAGTGGCTGGATTGCTTTTCAAATACTCGTCAATCCTTCTAACGTTTGTACTCGCTTGTTCGCACTAAAAACTTGGTGTATATTTTCTTCCTAGCCATTTCCGAACGCTGAGACCATGGTGCAGAGAATTGTTGGATACAACAGTAAAATACCTTCACGAGTCTGATTCCAGGAATGTTGTTTCAAACTGAAAACAGTGAAAAATCATTTCTGTAACCACTGGGCTATCTAAAAGGGTTTGGTTTACACGTTGCTTCAGGAGCCAGTATGCTAACTTGTACCAAATGCATTGGTCCATGTGAGTCGTTTTTGTCATCCTTAGATGCAGCTTCACATCCAGTCTCAAGTGATGTCACGCCCATTCAGATGTTCTTCTTACCGGCCTGGGCCATCCGGCGACTATCCAGGCACATAGAAGTTGCCATACTCTCAGTTGAAGTTCGTTCAATCTTGTTAAATCCATTACTGTAATCATGGTACCGCAATTGAACGATTTGGCTTGTTGAGTTTTGCGCGTAACACAAGGTGGCACACCTGATTGCCTGAAACAATGAATAAAGGAGCCACAGCGTACGTAATCCCGCTGCCATCCTCCAAGTCCTACCAAGCAGGTGTAGGCCGACGAATTAATTAACACAGTCTCTAGGTACGCTAAATGAGCACCGACCTCGTTTCGTCCAGTGGTACTTTGGTACCACTGCATTTTCAAACTACCAAGGGCTCTTGACAAGATGAAAAGCTTGGTTACTCGGCTTTCACCCTGTGAGGTATGCGGCGTACTGTCTACTAGAGCCGCAATTCCGCTACTTTGTCAGAAGTTCAACGTTCCGTCGTTAAAACGGAATAATACGGGCTTGAGTTACAGGACGAGGTTTTGCATTGCAGAACGAAAATTGGTTGCAGAGTCAAAATGTTTTTACTCAGGTATTCAAAAGCCTGAGTATGAAAGTGCCGACACCAAAGCATCAGTTGAATGAATATCAAATCCAGGTGTGAACACCCAGTGGAATCACAGGTAACATGAGGAATATGGGGAAGTCTTTTAGAAATCTCCTCAATATATTGGAGCAGCATAGGTGACCAGTGGAAATTAAATGATTTTCTTATGGAAGGCTGCATCCAATGTTGGTGAAATCTTATCGATATGCGAAATTGCGAGGACCTTCCTTGAAAAAACTATGCTCCGATGCCTGTAATTGTGTACCAACCCAAGCATGATCTTGTTTTCAGGGAGTGCGTATCCAGCTGAGTAATACAAGCGAAGAATTTAGCCACGATGAGTTAAACGTCCTTGGAAAATCAAAATAGTTTGCAACTCAATGAATTTCTTGAGATGACGCTCCCCTGTTCTTAGGACCTTACGAGAGCATGGAGAGTCCGTTATATCCAAATGTAGCTTGATACAACCATTGATACTAATAAATCTTCATATCGAACCTCAAAAGCAAAGAAAATGCGCCGAGGCGGGTTTACGGAATAAGAAGCAGGGGACTGAAAGTTAAGCGGTGAATACACGGCCAACCACGGAGTAGAGTTCACGTACCGGACCCTTTCCAGATATGGGTTCTGCGCAATATTTACACTGGAAAATGTCTGGCATAACAGTTCTGCTCTGCTGATAATTTTCGGCGATTCGCCTGAAACATGCACTCTAGATCAGATTTCAGCCTCCTGGAACCTTTCAGCAAATTCTTCCAAAGGATTCGCTCTCGACTTTTCCTTGCTCATAATGCTTGTTTGTCAGTCGCTCACTCTCTTAATTATAGCGGCCGTTTGTCGCTGACCTCAAAATTATGGAACCACTGATGGGGATGACTATTTCTGACCATTTATCAGGGGCTGCACAGCAATGCGTGATTTTGGTCGTCGCCTGAAGTCAGAAGCGTTTTTTCTTATAGGAGCTAGAGTTGTACCCCACCAATATTCACATGAAATTGGGATGATGTTCACGGTGACAAGTTTCAGAGGTAATGCTGCCGATAGGTTAAGGAAATTTGTTGACAAAAACATTGATGGTAAAGTTGTCGGCATTTTTAGACTAAGGGACTAGCATGCAAAAAGATATAAATGAATAAACTACAGTGGCTGTTGTGATAGCTTCGGTAGCTTCCTTTCCCCTCCAAAAAATGCAACGCAACAAAGAAATTAAGAAGCTTGGGACTAGGTTTTAGGTAAGTTCCGAGTGCCAGTGATGAGGATTCGTGTTCATTTGGCGTTTATTTGGACTTTATAACGTACCTTGATGGAAACCGGATTTCTCCGTTCTCCGGATGGTTAACCCATCATCAGAATCAGTGAAATATGATGTGTCCCATTATTAACTTACAGGGTACTCCAATGAGGCGGAAGCAGCCACGACTCCTATTTGCAGCTCATTGACCAGAGCCGGACGAAGTAGACAGGTCGGGCAGTCAGATATTACAAGAGATTGTAGTTGTTGCCACTTGGCTCTGTTTATGATTATAAATCACCGGAAGACGATGGTGATTGTCTCAATCCGAGTTATGTTTCTTCCAAGTTGTTCGTGGATGTAGTAAAACCTATAAAGCTGAAATGACGGAAATATCGGTAATAGAGTTATCCGGCTGGTAATTGATCAAATGATCATTAACAGTTGGCTGGGCTTGACAACTAGCTCGTGAAATTCTTTCACCATCTAGGTGATATTTCAGTGCGCATTTGAGTGGACACTTCCTCTATAACTGGCAACACTATTTGCAGTTCTTAAGGCCATCTATTATCCTCTAACCTGGCTGGCTTATCGGTAAACACCCTTCTTGTAATATTATTCGCCTGCTTGAAACTTGTACTACGCAGAGATCTGCATGTCTTGCATTACACTATTTTTGGATAGCCCCCTTGGGGGGCTTACTGTTTGGGTTCTTGACCTCAAACTTGTCCACGGTCAGGGGATGACGGCCTGCTGGAGTACGCTAATAAACATGACTTGGATCGGTACGTGAATTCAGCACATTCCGTGTGTACCCTCTTGTGACGCCATAACATTTGGAACCCCGCTTCATAAGGGAAATTATATCAGAGAGATTACCTGTTGACTACCGTTAGCCTGCCTGATTTGTGATTAGCCCCGCAAAGTCAGAAAGCAAGTGGACATTGAAACCGATTTAACAACCATCGTATTTGGTCAAACGTGGCTTGCAATATCAGACAAGACGATGTACGCAGTTTAACCTGCACACCATATCGACGTAAATCAAGGTGGGTGCCCACTTGATTTGGTTGGGAACGACCATACATTTTGAACTTCGGGGAATTGGTTGATAACAGTAGTGTGCAACGTAATGTAGCTAAGTGGCTAGCACCGGGTGCGCCCCCAATTACAGAGGGCGGAATTTGAACTTGAAAATCGTGCAGGGGTATGCGAGCACGCAACTCCAAATTTGGTGGCCATAAGAAATCGTGGTTCAACGACTATATCAGCGTCATAATAGGACTCACGAAGTGACGGTATTTACTTCCTAACACTTATCTCCGCCCTCCTATCCACAAATCCTTCACCTCCAGCGCGATCTCCTCCTCCGTTGTCTCATTTTTTGGCTAATTCTGGCGATATCTACCCGAATGATCTCTGAACCCTGCATTACCGGCCATATTGGGCCCAGGAGGAGTGTCGTAATAACAAAAGAGACTGAGGAACACCAGTGTTACAATCGAAAATGACATTTAAACACTGTAAAGTTGTATGGTGCAGAGTTGGATAAGCTGTGAAGCGAAATTTCACTCCGTGTCCTGGTCATATTCGTTACACGGGTTCCAAACTTCCAGTTCGGGCAAACGCTCGGGATTCTTGGGGTTTGAGTGTTACTACTGATTCCAGCAGTCATTTGGACCACGATGATTTATGCGCAACTAATCCTCGAATTCCAAGCACTTCAAACAGAGGTTCATCTACAAATTCGGTACCATAAGGACGATAATAAAATAATTATTCTATGCAACCCCAAAATCGTGGCACAGCGCCGGCGTCTATACACCGGTTTAGGAACTGCTAATACTTGACGCATCCCAAAGTCCACATCTACTCACGGTAACGTCACAAGATTGCAAAATCATGTGTTGATTTAGACAACACGTGAGATGGCAAGTCGAAGAGAGGTCTATATTCAGGTCGAAAACAGGTAAAATGGTATGAGCGCAAAACCGTAATAGCAAAAACGGGGAATAGTGTTGTACAAAATAAGAAGAGAATACTCAGCAGTTCTGAAGTTAGTGCTTGCTAAAATGTAGGAACCTACTCGCCGAACCTGCTGTTGTGCTACTATGCACAGAACATAAAGTCTACGTCGGCGAGGAGCCTATGCAAAGCACTAATAGCTGTCATCCGATCGTTTATCGTAAGCCGAAAGAAGCGCACTTTCTAGCTCACCCCAATGAGCCGGAACTTTTTCGAAAGCTCAAGGAGCAAGAACCAAATGATAATTTTTCACGTGCCGGTGGTAACGCTGTTTGGTTGGTGTCAGTGGATAGTATGTTGTGATATGGCGTTTTTGAAATCAGCATGCATCAAAAGACACAAAGCTCCATGCTGGAGGTCAGCTTCTCATGCAGCGTTATTTGCCACATAAAAATTTTGACCCGCCATTAACTCATACCCAGGCGAACAAGGCTCGTGGTTTGAGGAAGCCATTACTTATGCCCAGCCGAACAAGGCTCGTGGTTTGAGGAAGCTGGAGTAGCAATTCACGGTAGTTGGGGTAAAGAAAGCCCGGTTACACTACGTTCCGATTCATATGCCTGCCGGCAGATTGTTCCGCCAGATTGGTGGCGGCTGGTAATGGTAAATAAATCTATCGAATCACCTTTGGGAAAACCGTCAGTATACATCCGGTTTGAATCGGTTTCAAGACAATTAGGATAAAGCTATGCATGACGCTCCGTAAAGCCGCCTCACCGGCTACGTTTCCAGTCAAAATATGCACCGTCCCAAAATCGATCTATGCAGAATCACAAGGATTAATTCTCGGCTAACCTGTGGCTATTAGTTTCCAAACCACTGTCAAATAGGTCGGTTGAAACGACCTTCAGACTGGCAGTCATGGCAACCAACGGCGGGCCCACGAGGGCAGTTGCGCGCTGGTTGAACAGCTTGGAGCTCTCCACTCTAAATCGTGAAACAGAAAGGTAACACACAGCTCTAATGGCTGTCAGTTTTACAGAAAGACGTCGAACGGTATATTGGTGGCCGAAATTCTGCATACATATTATCCTCGCTCAGTGAACTTAGGACACTTTGTTGATGGTTCATCGACCGGCGTAAAAGCCAGCAACTGGAGAATATTAGAGAAAGTATGTGATGATACCAACCCAACCCTCAGATATTCAAATCACTTGAATTCCCTATAGAACAATCTATAATAGACGGTACTATTCACGGGAAATATGGAGCCGCCTTCGAGCTGATCACGAAAGTTTACGAATATGTCACAGGCAAAGAGTAGTGCTAAGCGTCTTCATTAGCTCATTCCCTAGAGAACCAAGAAGCCATTGGGTTTACAGTACTGGTCAAAGCTACCACGGACAACGGTGCTGGTATGCAAGAGATACAGCCATTACCCTAATAAACCGTAACATCAGAACATCCGAACTGATCTTGCAGCCGGACATTATTATCAGGCGAAAATGGGTAAGTTAAAACTAAGCACGTAACAGGAAAATTTCATCAGATGCAAAATGTCCTGGATCAGTACCGAGGACTTCGTGAAAGTGAACGCATGGTGTATCCAAGACGTTGCATGCTCAAAAAGCCCCTTTTCGCTATATGTGAGCGGAAGTAACAGATTCCAAATTGCGACTTGAAACCGGATTTTGTACCTTCTCTGGTATCTTCCATAAACATCAGTTGGATGTCGCTTTGTGTGTTCGATTCACGTTTTCATCTCTCTTGTGAGGAGGACACATGAGTATGTATTTTTTGACGCCTACTTGTAGGATGATAATACACAATCGAATGAAAACAAGCTCCTCTACACGCAGTGACCTCGGATTGAAACAATTAAGCAACCTGGGCGATCTGGCAATATGCACTTTTATATCTGCTGTGAAAAACCGGACCTTCATTGTTATTGTCGATGAAAACGGCTCTTTACGGCCGGCCAACAATTCAACCTAGGATACGAACAAAGGTCATTTGCAGAAGCAACTCCAATATAGATTAAAGGTTTTTTTATAATGCAACGCGGGATGGGGCAGTTTAGTAACTCGATATTCCCCGAACTACAACTAAAAGTACCCAGTCAATTCATGATGTTTTGTGGCCTTATTAACGCGGCACAAAAATCAGGTGAGGAATGAAGTGGTGAAAGATGTGCCCCCATTACGATGAATGGGCGCATTCGTGAATATGCTCAGCTTGACAGCCAAAATTTCGATCCTACATACTATGGGGATGGGTGAAATCAACAGGTAGTCAACCCTCCACAAAATTCTCCGGCGCCCTTTAAAGAATAGAGTATCAGAAGTTAGTACAGCTCGACTGTTATGATTTTTGTGACCCATTATTAGAACTTGTTCCGGTTGCTGGGCAGAAGGCAAGTGTTCGTCAGGAGTACATTCCTCCAACAAACGTGGAATTCGAATTGAGAATAGAGCTCTGTTGTTTAACGCTTCTTAAAATTCTCCCCACCTACCTTTGCTGATAACACAAAGACATGGTAAATAATTTTTACCACACCATCGGGTGGTGTTGCCGCTTAGAGGTTTGGTAAACGATCGTTTTGTTTTCATGAATGAAGCTAATTGCCCGCCGGATATTCGCTAAACAATCACATATTGCACCGAAACCTTCGTAATAGTTAGTGCTTGCCCCGTTTCTGGACAAATTAGTTCCGTCATTCTAGGGATGATTGAGTCTGTTCTTCTGCAATGAAGCTCCCATTTAGATGAAATGCTTGCCCGAGCACACATTACATCCAGGATCAATTGCGCAGATCTCAAGGGAAACTGCTGTACAAATTTCACTGCAATCTCCGCAACCAGTAAGTTTGGTCATACAGTTAAGAGCGCATATTACATTTACTCCCCCATAGAGGAGCCAGTCCCACAGGGATCGGTTTTCGACTTTCCCAGGAAGACTGCTGAGTAGACACCATGCAAAACCACATAAATGTTGGCCAGTATGTTCAAATATCCTCTATCAATGAATAATCCATGCACGTGGCCATTTTTGCCACAATTCTACCGAAATAAACTGGTTTAAGGTCTGCACTTTTAGGGTGTACGTCGGGTCAGATTTAGGCCAACACTCAGCAACTATGACGGTAACTTGTGCCACGCTCATCACATCATTTTAGGATGAGTTTATGCTAGCCTACCTGGGGCACAGTAGCTAGTCTTCAGACTCTATAACCGGCCATGACAATGGGACGGTTCACGTTTGCCTTCACCTGTGCACCCTGAAATACCTGCCTATGTCATCACTGGCACGTCTTGATAGGATCGGAGAGACATAATCAAGAAAAGACAAAGGTGCATGCAGGGATATCGAGTATTCGGATTACAGCTGTTTATCAAAGTAGCACATTAGCAAGCCTCAACTAGACGCCTCTAAAATCAGCTGAAGCAGTTGTGACACAATGACTCGACACTTCAACTGTGCCCAGAGACAGATATAGACCCGTGACATCCCACGTGTAAATCTCAACAGTAGCTAAATTTCGTCATAATCCAAAGCCACCGATTAACGGACGAGTTCTTTTCAAGAATTTCATTTGATGTCGCCCACCAGGTTGTGTCGTGGAGTGCGGATTACCTTAGAGTTTGCATTGGTCGGGTTATCTCAAGGGAGATGTGTTAGAAGTGTCACCGGAGGACATTAAGGGTTCTGGTACCCTGTGTTTGTAACGCCCATTAAAATAGGCTTAAGTAGCTAGCTGCATGTCACTAGGGTAAGCTTGGTGCCTATAAATGGACTTGTACGCGTAAAGGTGTAATAAACACCAGGTTCCTGTTGTACTGAAAAGCAAGATGATTTTGCTCAGATACGAAAAAGAACCCACCTGAAAAGTTGCAAAATGAGGCCCCTAAACGACGGTATGAACCCAAAGTATGAGTCTAAAGTTATTGATTGTGGAAATCAGTGAGAAAAATCGCCCGCGGCAATCGAAACATCGGATTACAACAATCTATTCCACTATAATGTGTTTTGGCTTTATAATTTAAAAAGTTCCATATAAAGGTAATATAGTTCAGGCAAAAACTGGCTACCATTGTAGCCCTGCTGATGCTATCGCAAACCGTTGCTTACTTTTCAGATCAAGACCTCACTACTTCCGTGGAATTGGTGAAGACGGGCGGTATCACGGTACAGTACTCCGACAAGAGATACACTGTTGACACAAGTGAGCAACTTGAAGCATTGACCACCAATATAAGCTGATATGGTATACCTAAAATGCGATTCCCATAAGGCTATAATCAGTCATAATCTCAGTATGAGGGGTTACATTATTTACGCAATAACTATATGTAAATGTCAGTTTATTCGTACCGAAACAAGTGATCAAGCCATCATAGACAAAAGAACAGATAATATGAATTGTTACATTGGCTCAGTTCCTGAAGCTCTATTTTGGCATGTGCATACCAGTAGACAAAAACTATAGTTGGTTTCTTCAGAGACGGTCTTTGCACGGATGAATGACAAAGTTAGTTTTGAGACCATTTTCTGCTAAAGCACCACTGCAGTTAGTCCTAATTTTAAACACTAGCCAGACTCAAAATGTCGTTGGTAAGAAACCGATAGCGGTGTCAAATCCAACAAATAAGTGACACTTAAGAGTTGTGAAAACATATTTCGGAAATCCTATTCTTGAGCAACCGCCAACCTGTTATCTCCGGCGCCAAACCAACTTCAAGTGGAGTAACAAATTACATGCATTTTCAGGCAAACTAGGCTTACTTTGTCCTTAATAGAAGTAACTGGACACACAGTACTCGGAAGCACAGGACGAGTTTTGTGAGAAACCATTAATTATGTGATGAATTTTGTATGCGACGTGCCCATCTGTTTACCTACGTTTACTCCTACTAACTGGAGCCTAGATTGACGGGAAATTCTGTGCAACGTAATTCATCAGTCAACTTGTGGTTATTACCATAACGCCCACTAGTCAGAGCAGAACGTTAACCACCAAACGGATTCCACAGTGTCCAAGAAAGCTAATGGTGAAGTAAAACCATAAAACCAAAACCGGGACTAGAAATCCCACTTCGTCGATAGAACGGCACCAAGTTCATACGGGTCATGTGGTCAGCCCCCAAGAAGCGCTCAACGTTCTTGAGCTACCAAACCGCTTCGGGGGAACATTCTGGAGGATAGTATAAGGGATAATATAAAAGAACATGATTTGCACTATCTCGAGTCGCCTGTAGTCTTCCATTCAAGTGAACGCTTGGTCGAGTCGACCAGGGGAGAAAACGGAGAAGTTCGATTAGGACACAATCACAGATTCAACTATATACGTCTCTGGAGTGAAAGTTACACTGAGGAAGAAAAACAGAAAAGCTCTGCTACGGTTGACGGATAACCATTTCCTTTTAGAACAGCTTACGCCGGATGATGAAAGATGGCCGAAGCCCATGATGGGGCGACTTCAGAAGCCATCTCTGGTCTGGAGGTCTAATCACAGAAGATGCAACTCTACGTTTTTCAGAATGGCTACACGTGGCCCAAAGTCTGATATACAACTGTCATTCATAAAAAAGCAGATGGATGTATTGATATCGGTTCTTCGCTTATTGGAATAGCCTAATGAAAACGGGACCATTGAATATCTGGCACATTACAAAAGCAATTAAAATATAAACGAAGACGCTTCGAGAGATGAGTAAAGATAAGTACGGATAAGAGAGCCACGTCAACCTAGAATTTCTCGGAGTCAGAATGATTCTTTCACGGTGACCAGAGCCCACGATATGATGGATCAAACTCAGTAGCCGTTTGTTGCGAGGACTTGACAGGGAAACTGATGAGAAACTCGATCCCCGATTCAGTGGGTTGGCCTTCCTGTCATTTGTTGGTCGCGTTGTACACTCGTATAAACATGACCTACTTGACAACTGTCTCCGTTGCACCAAAATGCGAACTGACAGTGTGCATACACACACACAAGGTGGGGTTGCTATCGTTTTCAGACTCGCCTGCTTCACAGAACTGCGCAAATGGACCGCGCGCGGTTAAGCGGCTTGCGATGCTGCGAATGTCAGTGTATCCTCGAGAGAACAGTATTAGGGGGAGAGCAGAAGGGGCTAATTCTGAAGTTGGTAGCACGCTCAGTTGGAGAACCCTTAACATCAAGCAAATAGGGGACAGCCGAGCAGGTCAGACCCACAATCCATGCAAAACACGCACCCGAAGTACACAAATATGACTAGGTGATGCTGTCTCCTATTCAGCTTGGTTAAAAACAGTTCTTTTAGCCCGTTGTGGACTCGATACCCCGGAATTTCGAGTATCATGACAGGTCGTTTGAGGCTTTACACGTTGGACACAAGGTATGGTGAAAGTATACTCAGAATACTACAATACAATAAATACAAAATACGTTTAGATGACAGGCAGAAATCTTGGATTTTGAATCAAATTTTTCCCCGCAAATGAAGGTAATCTGTGGCAAAAAAAACTCTGCAGTGCACAGCTGCTTCGTTCAAGTGTAGCACCCTTTCGGTACCCAAATGCCATGCCACCAGAAGGAAGCACGATGGCTGGGAAACTGCCAGGTTGCTCAAGCCTAGACAAGGGAGAGGCCCGGTTCGAACCACGGACCAATGAGTCATTTCGCTGTTTCATTATTATGGGGAGTCATAATCATTGCGCATTCCTCCTAGAGATTCGTGAAATGCGCAATGTTGATCTTCCCTAAGATTGAAACAGCTGTACAGCGCTGCTCAGATTTTCGGGACATACTAACCTGACTCGCAGGACGAAATTCCGAGTGGAAACTGAGATGGAAGACTCGGCAATACACACCAGACTGTCGGTGGCGAAACGCTTAACTGCGATATAGCTTTTGGACGACGGTACTATCCCAGTGGACGGTGACCGCCTCCTAATATCCACATGCTTCCATTCAAGTAGACAGGTAAGTTTGTCACTGCATCCTTATTTCCACCTGCCGTGCAGAGGGTCGAGCGCAATAAAATCCGTTGCGGCGTGGAAGCCAAACTTGGAAACCGAATTAAAGGAGCTAAACAATTAGGTATGATCTATAGCCCATTGAATACGGACATTAACTGTTTATTGCAAGATTGAATCTGAGCAGTGCCTTATCCACTCATGTTCCGACCAGTGGTTGACCGTTCGGCTGATTCTCCCTTGAACATGACAGCGCCACTCATCCTCCAACCACGGAAGCCACATCGCAAGGTTGCGTGTTGACTGGCTCCTCGAGTGACGATTTCTGCGCTGGGAGTTTCACTCATCTTGTGAAACTTTTCTTCCCCTGAGGTATCTGTGAATTGATGATAGTTTGAGATCTGGTGATTTTTAATGGAAATAATTCTATGCTTTGTGCCTCACCAACAAAAGGTTGGCCATTGAGTTACAGACTGATTTTTCCGACCTACGATGTCAGTAAGCGCAGAAGCCCGCGGACTCGTGGAATTCAGGCATGTACTACTGCGAGTGATGCATTTACAAGACGAAGGCCATTTGATAAGCACTTCTTTGAGAACAACTATCGTATGTGATGCCGATCACTTTCGTTGGTCAAAGGACTATCGTCTCATCGCAGTTTTGTACAGTTCTACAGGTCCGGGTTGCTTGATAAACACCGACGCTTAGGACACTATTACACTTGTAGACTTTCACGAATACCAAACGAAATATCACCACGCAACCTCTGGGCAACCAATGCCACTAAGGTCAAAAATTACCTATTCCCAGAACTGAGACGACCATTCTTGTGAACAATGCCCATAAACAGTATCGATTCAGCCTCGCTGTCAGCCTCAAAAGGGTCTTTCAACATTCTAACCACTTTGTTTATACCAGTTCAATAAGACTTAAACCAGCTCTCCCAAGTAAAACTGATATTTATCCATCATTTGTCGCGTGCTTCAGTTGGTGGACATCACCGGGATGCACCGTAGGAACTCATGTCAGCTGGCTATAAAAGATCCTCTAATTTTCCCACGGCCACGACGCCCAACACGTGGGAAATTCAAAGCCATCTGGACGGAACTAGGCCTTAGCTCCAACTTGGTACTATTCGTCCGTGTAGCTACCTTTGGGCGCTCCCATTGTACATGGTCCCAAATATATCTGGAGGCGACCGGGGACACTGCGGTGCTCATCTCCTCTACGATAACATCACTACCCACCATCATCATGTCTTTCGCATTCATACTACATATGGAGCATCTTCCATCGCATTCACTACCAGACATTAGTGGCCTCCAATGGCATCCTCAAGACTTCAATAACTTCTTTTTACCCGCATGAACTTGTTCGTTTGCCACTGGTTCACGTGCACTTTCCAGCTTTTTTTGTTCATAGTCCACGTAGTTTGGAATCCGATCTTGCGTGCATTGATGTCCTAAATGCATTTCCGAATCCTCCTCAACATTAAATAAGATTAACAGTGCCCTGAAGTAGTATGTCACTCTGCAGCGCGTCCTATCGATAATCTACTATCATTACAGGCGCTCTAAGCTGGATCCACATTTAAGTCCTTTTCTTTTTAACTTGCTACCTTCACCTCGACACAGCAATATGATTAACCCTCATAGTCCCACTACGATAATTCACGCCAATCTTCGTTGTCTTCTAGCCCTTACTGATGGTTCGTCACTCAACACCTCGACTGAGGGCTCCCAAATCTCACGCACCTCTTGGTTTTCTTCACCAGCTCCAGCTTCTATCTCAAGCGTACGCACAACAACAGAATTTGTCACTGATTGTTTTCTGGAGCCCAAGATGCGTAAGGACGCCGGTTCATGGATGCAATATGGTCTTATTCACCAGTGAAAACACTGCTGAAACATCATCCAGAGTATTTCGCGTTTCCAGAGTCTCATCTTAGACAAAAGTGACCATTTTATAAACTGGAGGATAAGCGAACTGCATTCACCAGGCCCCTGAAGCTGGAGCATACAGTACAATCATCAAAAAAGGACATCTCAAATGAACGCGCCCCCTTCAGAGGTCTTTGGATGTAGGTCTCCTGAGAATCAGTACTGACACAGTCCTGATCCAACGTGACATAATAGAGTTGACTGGTTCTTCCACTTTAGAGCAACTGTCTACTGTCTAAGATAAATAAGTCCCAGTGATGTCGCGGATCATCACAGTTCATGATCTACGGGCAGAAAAAAGGTTTGTACATTATAGACAATATGTTTCCGAGCGGCGCGCGCCTGCTGTATCGGCATGTACTTTCACTATGCCAAGCCACGCTTTGCCTTAACCATCATGTCCAGAACGTTAGTCGGAACCATATTGCTTTTCCGGTTTGAGCGGTTAATCGTTGCAGCCGATACTGTTCTGACCAAGGATAGCACGTAAGCGTACGACAACCAATCTCGTGTTGATATTTACTGTCATTTCCAGCGACATCAGAGAATACTGGTGTCCCACTGCCCTGTCTCACTTCATACCCCTCGACAACCACAACAATAACCAAGCTCTTACACCACCACAGCAAGGAGCTCGGTGTCGTAAAAACTACATTGTGTATCCAAACTACCTTCCGTTGGGACGTATGCAGATACGATGAACGGACAGTGATTATCGGCGTGTGTATCACGCTGCAATACGAGCTATTTCACTGCATGGCTGTGAGACTTGGCCCGTCCGAGCAGCCGAAATGAGGCGTTTTCAGGTCTTCCACAATCGTTTCAGAACCATAGCTCGTGTGGGATTGTGTCGGCGAATCCATGACGAGACAAGTAGAAAGCATTGGTCAGGCCATGTATAGCAAATGCCAAACCATCGTCTGCCGAAATTGTTTTCCGTGCCCAGTTCAGTGGCAGAAGCATATGGGTAGCCAAAGTTGGCCTGGTAGAGGGATATGAAAGAGCTAATGAAACGTTTGGGTGCTAATCGCCTTCCAGGATGGGGACCGCCCAATGCGCCCGATCTTAATCTTAATCGGACCAACCAGAATCCAGCGCAAAGGCTGCTCTTTGTAGACTACATAAACGCAGGCACGAAGAGAGGAACTACCCAGCCAACAGCGCACTGAAGATGTCTTCTCGAATGGTGACGAAACGTTTGGAAATCGATTGCCAAGCTTGGCGAACAGATCGACAGCCACTTGATAAATCACCAGGTGTCTTTTAAAATAGCACCAGATCCCCTGGTTTCAACAGTATTCCAACTGCATTGAGTAATTCGTCGACCATTACGGTCAACTACTGAGAGATCGGTGTAAGGTCTCCAGGGCCGACCTTTTCTAAACCGACTACCCTATGGGGGAGGTGGCACCGTTCCAGGTCTCCCGCATGGAACATTTTACTGCTTCCACACTCCCGTAACAGAAGACAGTACTGATAAAACCCCAGACTACCTTGTAAGGCGGATCGCAGTTCTTCGTCGGGCTGCTCATCGCTGATCATTTGGAAATGTGCAATCCATGGTTGTATGTGGGCCTGGATATTGCCAAAAGCCCACAACTAGGAAGATCGGCTAGGGTGCCCAACAAAGACTGGCTCAAAAACCTAACCCTAGGTGGTGGTTGGTGGAGACCGTCCGAGCAGCCTGAATTTTTAAGGAGTGGGTCGCCACATATGTTCCAACCTCCAACCTGGAGACTGTTAGGCAACCTCTGCCCACTGACCAAACTGGTGTGAGCCTCTGTGATCGCCACACACATGTACACTCCCCAGGATGGCTCATTGGGTTATGGAGGTGCACAAACCGTCACAGCGCGTCAAGGTAGTCTCTTTATAACGGTACAGTTACCTTGCATACACCGCTCTTCAGTATCAAGACATTCATGTATGTTCGCGCTGTCACGGTAGAATCGTGAGATAATTGATATTTCCCAATTCGAACAAAACATACCAAATGGTGAGTGTCCGGCAATCTGCTTACGGTGGATTATGCAGCCTGTCAATTATTAATCCAAAATACGCACAAGATCAGGTTGTTGCTGTTTTCTCAAGAGTACGAACGTGAAGCGCTGCGACAAAGACCTCCACGTTTCAGTGGATGGTGCGAAAGGACAAATATGGTGGCTTACAACCGGACACCTTCCCGCTGGCCTGTAACACAATTCAGGTCTATAGCTACCATGTCATTCGAAAGAAACACGAGGGCTGACATATTTCCCAGGTGGATCTTCAGCTCAGACACAGAGGCGGTCATTAAGCGAAGCGGGAGGGGAACCAAGAGATGACAAGATGGAAGGCATTGACAGCTGCGCACTTCGTTCCTCTTCTATGAAAGGCGAAAAAAGACAACCACCAGGCAAAGGCCAATGCATATCTCGTGGTTATGTGTGGACTGCCTGGACGCAAAAAACAGATGATGACTAGGGTCCTTGATCAAAAGCACGATGTTGAGATATGATTAACACAGCAGTAACAAGTTGCCACTTCAATCTAAAGAGTCAAGACTACTTGTCAGACCAATCTGGTAGTAAAATCAAGGAGGTAAACAGGCATTTTCACATGTAGCTCGTAGGATGAATTAAGTACATCGTACCAAGGCGAGATGAGGTCTTGCAATCACTCTGCTTAACGTCAGTTTGCCTATCAAGGACAGAGAGTACACTACGGTCGTGCGATGCATACTGCTTTATGGATCAGAAAACTGTCTTACACGCGCAGAAAACATACGAAGGCTGTCAGTGCTTGACCATCGGTGGCTCCGAAGCACTGGGACACCAGATTAATAATGCTGAAGTACATCAAGTGGTTTTAAGAAAACATCCCACGACAGACGACTAACCGAGCCTTCATATGTCACGCTGGTTAGGATACTGCATGCCAGAGGCGTGGTGGCTGTGGTTAGAGCGCGAATTTACTGACCGCGGTTCGAACCCGGTTTCTACTTCTTGATTTCCCGTCTAGGTTTGGACAACCTGGCAGTAAGGCACCGAAGGGGCACTACTGATGAGGAAAATCTGCCTCGCAGCGCTGTTTGCCCAGTCCTGCGCCAAGTGGAGGTGACCGAGACGCGCACCGACTATGATCTGGCAACGAAGTATGGAGGCATTTACCGGTAAAATCAGTTTGGTGGACAAAGTGCCACCTCTCTTAGTGACCTCCAGACTCAACTCACCAATCGTTAATGACAATGGCAGACATGACAATCACACAGTGACGGTCGTCCGTCAAAGCTATCTTTCAATGTGTGGATGCACAGTTTCCCGAACTAACGGGCCATTCCATCGCCTCCACGTCCTGGTTATATAACCAACGCCAACCCACTGTCCGGTACCGAAAAACTAGCGATGGAACCAACGTACCCTTGGTGTAAAGCCGGTGCTCCATGGTTTGGCACCTGCTTCACACCCCTAAAGTGTAAAAAGCTACTGCAGGACTGGCTAGGTTCGAACCCTAACCTCACACTTGTGGATGAGCCGCTTGAGGTTGTAGGCAAGTTTGTCCACCTGGGCAGCTGTATTGGTCCCGGTAGCTTCTCGAAAATTTGCATTCCCATCCAATTTGGGAAGGCCGGAGCAGCTTGTGTGCACCTGCGTCACTTTCGGCCAAGGTGTGACGACTTTATACGTCAAGGATCGAGTTAACAGTGCTGCGACCCATATTACTATACGGATAAAGAACCTGGCCGCTGCGCGCCAAGGACGTCAAAATTTTCATTGATTGGAGCACTAGATCAGCAATGCTGAAGTAGGTCGAATGGTATTGGGAAGAAATAACTCGCCCACGATAGATGAACTGACCGCAACTCACAGGTTTCGCTGGGTTGGCCACGTGCTCCGTATGTCAGTCGACCGACTTCCTGGAAGGGTTCTCTTTGCGGAACTACGCGAAAAGTGGAAATGAGCCAGGGGAGGTCAAACAATCTCTTGGCAGTGAAGCATAAAAGCCATTACCAGCAAACTAAGCGGCACTGGTCATTTCCGCATCCCTGGATGGGACCCCGAGACGAGACACATCAACGGTTATAGACATTATTGGACATGGCCCAGTCACACCCTCAATGGCGCTCGCGCATCTAACCTACTGCCTTGAATGCATGGCTCCCCATACAAGCTCTCAGCTAAAATGTCCATTGACAGACCTAAATTTACGCACCAATTTACCAGCTCTCGCCTACAAGGTGCAGCTATCATCATCGGTGGATGAAATCGTGGCAGCTACAACCAGTGCAACAAGTACGCTGTTCTTACAATGATGGCATAACGGGCAAAATAAACTGAACTGCTTCGAAGATAAGTTAAGCTGCTCTCTAAAATGTTTCACCCCGCAGCCTACACAACTCACTAATAATCGACCTCCAATTTCTGTTTCGCGTTCTGACCTGAATAACCATACTAAAAACTGACCACGAGGACTAAGGAATGGTTGTGGACCAAAAGCTATCAAATAGACGGTTAGAAGGAGAACACACAAAGACACGGACCCATACATCTGGTCTACAACGGACATCCCTTGGGCTCCACTATGGCGAGCAACGGAGTGAGCATCAATCACAATTCCACATACTAAATCGTTACAGACTCGCACCACTTTTGCACCTGATAATTTATTACGAGTCTATTCTAGCCATAGCACGAGGCTTGTCTTCCAACCAGAGTGCTGGTGATGATTGTGTCACCCTCACCACAGACGCATTCGTTTTCCTACCCAACGACCGTCTCGTTCGAGGGACACGATTGTTAAAGCGCAAGTTCGGACTTAACTTGGGGCTTACACAGGATGAACTAGATCTTTACACATTAGTATAAATTCCTCCAGTATGATAAGTCGTCATTAGGCGCTACGGGCACCAACCCCTTAGCGCGCAGCACTAACCTGCGAAATGAAAAGCCGCAAAACCACGAGAAAAACGATTATATTCAAAAGGACTTAGGCCTTGACGAGTGGCTGTATTGCTCTGAGGTTCTTCGCATGCGGAATATTCTGATGGTATAAATGATGAGAATGAGTGCACACCTACCATGCTCTGCAACATTTCTTGCGTAACCGGATCTAGCTCGGCACCAATGGTGTCGAAATGTGAAATCTCTGGCTGATAATTGTCGCGCCTTTCACGTTCTTCCTCCTGCATTTTCACGCTAATACCTCGCACATTCCCGGTTTCCAAACGCTTCATCAGATGCGTAACGTATCCCGCAATTTTGTTTCTCAGTCGTTTGGAGTTGATACAGGCGATATCTTGACAAACTTTCTTATTTGTATGAAAATCACGGGTAAGTCGGCCGTAGAACCGTTCAATGATGAACCGGGAAGCCTTTTTGACAGTTTTTGTGCGCACTCGACCCTATAAACGGTCAGATAATCATGTGAGAAAGAGGCAGACGGGCTACCATTTTGCACGCCGACCTTGACGAATAAGCCGCCAACAATAAGTGGTCGGTTAAAACGACTATGTAGACTCAGTTTAACGGCATGTTATCTTTTCGAGCACTGGGGCCTAAGAGAGTGGGGCTTATTCACTCATCTCTGTTCCAATGGCTGTGGCTTCAAGCGCTGGAAGCTCTTGGTGCTTGTTTTAGCCGGTCAGTCATGGTAGGCTTTGAATATTTCACAGGTTTTCGCAAGTTTTACTGAACCGATGCCCTGTTTGATGATCCTTGAAAACCCGAACCTTTCGAATGAGTTTCTCGTGCCCCACTTCATGAAGTAAACAAGTAACCTGAAAGTCACTGCGGATGGTTGACATCTATTCGCCGTCAGAACAACGCCAAGGAGGAAAGGCCGGAAGGATTTCCTGTGGTTGCGAAGGTGAAACGGGGCGGGTGGTATGTCGGTTATTGTCACCAGGACGAATAGTAGATGTACAGGGTGTGAGCCTGAACCAACGGGATGGCTCGGTGATTATAGCGTGAATTCACTAGCTAGGGATCCGCGTTTTTGGCTATACCTCTGCATCTAGACGTCCCCTTACTACCATTATTCCAGCTCTCGAGCTTACTTCAGACGGCATAGCAGCGAGACACCAGAAGCACGTTATGGCTGAACGATTTGTGTGAAACTTACCCAGATCTCGACAAAGATCCTTAAGCGATGGCCCATTAGGATGGTTAACGGCTAGGAAGCGGAATTCTCTGAACACCAATTCACGTTGCGTGATTGAAAAGGTAAGGGAAACGTCTTAAGGGGTACGTCTTAAAGGAATTAGCAGCACTGAGGTGTGCGGAGCAGATCAAGACCTAAAACGCCAATAACACAAGGTCACTTCCATCCGGGGGTGGTGTGGAGGCTGACGAGAGGTGGCATGGAAATTTACAGCGAATTTAAGAATAAAGTGTTGGTGCAAAACGTTACTGCATGTGAATAAACTTAAATGTGGGATGAATATCAAGCGAATGTGAGTAGGAAGGCATTGTTGATAGGGCACTGAGCGTTTCTAGCAGCACGCCTACAGGAGGCTTCGTCGAATTTGGAATAAATCATGAAGTCTAAAACCATTCAGTATGAAGTGTCTGGGGTTCCACGAAACGGACTGGTCAAACTAATAGAGTTGTTTGGAATGCAAGGCACCACCGTACGAAAGAAACTCCGTTAGGAAGACAAACTTGTTGAGATGGAGCACGACAAACACCCGCCTACTGGAAGGATTTCTCGAGTGTTCGTGCCTCTATTATAATTTTAGGTGTCGACACGCTACATTTTGTGATGAGTAATCATTTCCTTAATCGGTTAATTTTAATTTAATGGACCAAGAATGATTTTCTTGGAGATACGATATGTAAGCCTAAATATAAACAAGACTATGCTGGCTCGTTTTGATGCAGCGGACGTTTTTCAGCCGGGAGTGGTTAGCAAAGTTTTTTAGGATTTTACAGGGGGTTTAGAAGACATTTTCTACAAGTTGGGCGTGCTTAACCGTCACCGCTGGCCGGTGTCGCTCTCACAGCGGCTTGTACTATGATTATGTGGTCCACAACGGCGGGCCGAACCGTGTGCGGAAGGCAAAATGCGGGGAAGTGAGTAGCTTGCATTTGCGAACAATAATATCGTAGTACATGATGTGAGTCAGCTGGGGACTGGTAGATATCTGCTGCTTCACAGTAGTGCGAACTCTAAGTCATTTTACGACCGTTTACCGGCAACCAGACAGGTAAGCGACGACAAATTTAGGGGCTACCATCCGTCGCTGCCATACCAAGCGCCTCCATCGGGAGCGTAGCGGTTCACCTTGTATAATTTGACAATGGCTTGTCGCAATAAGCATATGGAGTTGCATATCAAAGATCCCGTTCTTTTTATCAAACCCGCTCTTATAGGCAACGGGTTTGTGTGAAATGGGATCTGTCGGTATTCGGTTGTGAGTCTGGTCACGCCATCAACCAGAAGGACAATGACTGTCAGTTTGGCAACATCTTGCCAGGTGTAATGCCATGTTCAGGAGTTCGGGACGTTTTGAATGCTAGTGCTTTACACTAAAAAGCGCCTCATGTGGCCGACCGGCCGAAGTAACCTTCCGAACACGGATATAATCTGTACACCCTGTTAATTACGGATAGCGAGGGCACCGGTCTGACCCCTGTTGCACCAATTTATAAGGAGCAGATAAGTTGCTCCACTGCGCAGTTTGGTTCGCGTGTTGTGAAGTCTTTTGCCACGGATGGACAAAACATGTTGCCTTTAATTCAGAAACTGTTTTGTTTTTTCATGCGTTAAGGACTGCGAAGCAGCAGGCAGCGTCGAAATAGTTTTCTGGCTCCCTGTCCCATAAAAATTGCACACTGCATGTTTACGCAGAGTGATAATCACTGGTTCAGGTTCCATGACCGGTTCACGTTCTTGAGCGCACGGATGGTAGTCCTGTGTTATTCTTCTCAGCATGCTAGAAGTAGGCTGTCCTCAAAGTGTGACTTATGCACAGTCAAGGGCCATTTACCTTAACAACGGGGAGCACTTTTTGAAAACACACTTTCGGCTTGCAGAGCACACGCATCATTTTTATAGCCTTGGGTACGGCACTTGGGGTTGCTGTTCTCCGTGAGAGCCTTAATCTAGGATTTTTCTGTTCAAGGCGCCGGTCAGGCTTGTGGAGTTCTAATATCCTACTTGTTACGATGACTTCGATGTTGTTCTTCTGGCTGGATGTGCACCAAAAGGTGCAAGAGTTGTATTGAGATTGGTTGCAGCTTTTCTTTAATCACTTATGCCATAATTATGCAAGTATATTTATAAATTCTAATTACGGTCTATAGGTGACTCCTTGGAGAACAGTTCTACAAGTAGAGCGAAACTCCCGCCTGCGAACCTGCACTTGAGGGGCCACTTAATAACTGACCCCGTGGAGATTCTGTGACTGGATGTTACGAGGCACTAAAGACTGTCTCAGCGAGAGCTATCCACACCGGCGTTCAGCCGACCGAAGATATACAGCTTTGTTCAAACAGTGGTCAGAAGGTTGCGGGGTGTGCACCATCCCTTATGCCAAATAAGAAAGAAACGGCTGCTGCAAAAGCCCATTTGTTTTCCTGCATAGGTTAGCTTCACCCGCAGGATAAAAGTTTGATTGAAAAAGACAAACGACAAACTATACAAATCAAGATCAGAATATTTAGATGTGAGGACCATTCAGATTAAGAATACGTGATAACGTATCCTTGGTTCGGAGGCCCTCACAAGCAAACTTTGCATGTAAACGCGGAGTGGCAAAACTATCTTTCATACACTAGTCCAAATCCAGCGTTCTGCATCGGCAACTGGAAAACCTGAACCTGTTGCGGATAGCTCGCCGATCATAAACAGTTTTCTAGAAACGTCGCTACCACAAGAAGGCGCATAGACAAATGAAATGTCTCCGTGCGGACGACTTGACCATACAATCCGCTCTTGATAGTTTACATGGAGCAGCTCACACAGTTCTACAATGTAGTCCATTCAGGCTCTTCTGTGTGTGAGAAACTAGAAAATCCACATGTTCTTTTCGATGAAGATTCGTTTTCAATAAGTATGATTTACGCTCAGCTTTATTCGTGGAGTAAGAGCAGCGGCATCTGAAAGCAAACAAGACGAACCATCAGCCGCGAGTCAGAATTTGGACCACCTGCTTATGGACTTCGTGATTGTGTGCTGATACGTCCGGAAAGAACTTGAGGAATGTTGCCAAATGTTGGAAGTTTTATTCAGACTGCCTTCACTTCCGTGCCTCATGCACTGAGCAATTTGTGGAGCTTCAAGGAAAATCAAACTTGAATCCTTAAGGCAACATAGAATCGCTCCGCTATGATAGTCATTATTTGTGCTTAATCTGGAACTGCTACCTGTGCTTGTAACGCCTGGCGCTTAAACCTCCAAGATGGGCTGGCAGTGCATTCGGGAGGTCTATTTGTGCATTGAAGACTTTAGTCACTGAAACCATATACGGGTCCATCGCGATGAACAGACAAGGGCTAGTTCTCTGATGGTGTTCTCCTGCAGATAGGGACTGCTGTTGGCTGGTGAATGTGGTCATAAATAAACAGGGATTAGAACTTTGACCGATGCATCTTCCAGGGGTTAGAGGGTCAAGTAACTCTGAATTAGGTAGCAGAATAACATGTAGCAGTAAAAAGATCAGGTTTTGTGCCTCATCCTTCCCGTTTTGACTAGTTGAAATTTCAATGATAGGAACATAAGAAATCGATGCCGAGTTGAATCATGGTTTGCGGCTGACTTATCATTGAGTTGTTACCCGACCCCATCTGTGAAACAATTACATGTTGATGCATCCACTTTACTACCTACTGCTGTTCAACAGCGCCAGCTTTTGATGTACACCATAGTCCATTTTGGCCACAAATGATTGTGTCGGAGAGTGGAAGGGTTGGAGGGGGCTCGTCAACATTGAAATGTTGTTACAAATGATGTTACAAAAGTTGCAGTCACTTCTTCAGTTTATTATGTTCTCAGTCTCCTGCGACGAATATTAGCTAATGTTCGTCGGACGACAGATAACCCATTTATGTTCGCAAATTGTTCAGTTAAATAAAAAAACCCTAACAAAGCATCTCAGAAATACGAAGTAGTTTCATCAGACATGAAAATCCATACTCTGCCCGGTCTATTATGTCAACAAACACCCAACTCCAGACTATAACCAGGCTATTGATGCATCCATCGAAGCTAACTGGCCCGGATCCTAAGTGGTCAATTCCTTGAAAAGGGTAAGCCAACTCCTCGGACTAGAGAGCTACGTCAAATTCAACAGCGCGTACTGGCTAGCGGCTGGATATTCACTCAAACTTCTTGGACTGTAGTGAGAAGGGTTGCTATTCCTATTCAAATTGCCGTTGCTTGACTAGGCGCTATGGTCTCGGAAGTACAGTACAGTCTACATAGATAACAGAGAATATAAGAGTAGCAGCTTGGTGGTTTTATTGTTAATTAATTTTCACAATGAGGCTGCAAGGAAGGGACGAGAGAAGGCTGCAGATGAAAGTGGTAATGTGTAATCAGGCGCTTTTCTTGGTGCTCGAAGGGCGTGTAGACGTTTTGAACTTCTGAGTTTGCGTGTAAAATGAAGACGCAGGGAATTCATCGGTAACAATCGAGAATGGAAGGAGACGTCAGAAATCACACACTTATTTTTTGACCCTGCCTCAATCATCAAGTGGGAAAATTCGCGTGTAAACTGTGGTTAACATAATGCTTGTGGAGTAACTCTACGCTTTTATGGAGCGAAAAGTCACGTGCATTACCTTCTAATCTGGAAAACTTCATGCATCAGGCCTATGCACACCTAACAGCTAGGTAGAAAGAACCGTACGTATAATAATTAACACCATAGAAGCCAGTTTGGTGGTTCTTAGCTTGGATACGTTGAAAAAACCCAGAGCCTTCGGAGCAAGCTTTAGTGTCAGAACCGCTGAGTATTATTGAATGTGTCTAGACATGGAGGTTCATCTGTTGTTATTAGCGTTAACAACAGCCGTGTCTTGGCAAGCTTACTACGATCCACTGTAGGCGATTCACGCTCAAACGACCTATATCCCTAGTTCCTGTAATTTGATTTTCCCCAATGTGGGCCACAACAGTGCCAGAAATTGAGTTGGATGTGATATGATGAGATTTTTAATTTATTGTAGAAAGAAAGAGCATGAGGGCTGATTCTGGGTTCCTATGACAATGGATTGTATGGGGACGGCAAGCAGTTGGATGAATCGCTTTGACGCGACCACACTAAACGATTCGCTCGTGAAGATTGCCCTTTGACAGTTCTTACAAATGGCCCTACATGAAGGTGTGTTGAAATTTTGGTGGGGAGGAATGGCGACCACACTAAACGATTCGCTCGTGAAGATTGCCCTTTGACAGTTCTTACAAATGGCCCTACATGAAGGTGTGTTGAAATTTTGGTGGGGTGTGGAGGAATGGTAGCCGATGAGGGTAGCAAATTCAGCAGTCAAAGTGCCGTTAGAGGGAAGAACGGTGGAGTTTATGGTTCAAGAATGGAGGGGGGCACCAGTGGGCGAGTATTTGGAAGTGTTGATTAGCGAGAAGCCAGTTTAGCAGTGCTGTGTTTGCGGCTTTCAGCAATACATTTCACAGTGAACAAATTAGGCCGGCTGGGTGGTGTCGAGTTTTTATCATAGTCGTTTTCATTTCCGTATATCGAATGTATATTTGCAAACTATTAACGGAACGAGAGCAATTTAGGAAGGGCAAAAAGTAACAGTAGCTGGCATCTGGGGCTGGGTCGTTGGTGCTCCCTTTTAGGCAATTCTATGCGAACCAAGAAATCGCTCTGCCAATTTAGCGATGAAGAACACGGTCATTTTAAGGCAAACAAGTGCCAGAAGCACCAGTTTTAGGGATCCGGCAGTTTTAGACACAAGGTTGGTACGGCTTTTTGGAAATTGCTGAGGGCTAGAGAAGCACGGGGCAAGAGCAGGGAGACTTACAAATTCATGGTATATCTACAAGGATGTTCAAAACCATAATTTGCATTTTGGTTTTGCTGTTGATTAGATAATGGGGCGAACACTGTAAGGTCCCTGAAAACCCGATTTTCAAGTTTCCGATGGGCTTGGCAACCCGGAGTATGCAGACAACATTATTCTCGTTTTGAAAGGAGGAAGGAAGTGCCGAAATAAATGGAGGTGACAACCGAGGTCATCTGGTCCTTCGGCGAGTGCTTCACGCTCAAATGATGCAAAGTAGTGCTGCAAGACGTATCGTGCTTGGACGTGCCCCTGAAAAGCATCGAGTGACGTCGGAGAATGTAAAACACTTAATGCATCCTTGAATTTTTATTTATTTGGAAATTAGTGTGACTGACAACTGGACGACACTACGGGATCCCGAAGGTTAAACTAACGTTCACCAACATGCGCCACTTGTGGCACCTGAGAAGCATATCACTGAATCCCGAAGGGCACATTACAAGGTGTATCATTTTCCAGAAGCGAGATCTGGCTACTTCGTGCGGTGGATCTAAGACAACTTCAGGTCTTTGACCGCCGATATATAGCTAGGAGTCGGTATGGATAGAGTCGGCTGGAGTAGGGGAATTTGCAGTGAGGTGCTCGGGAAGCGGGTGCTTGTGAAGGTAGTGGTGACTTTCCTCATGGAGTGCACCCACCGCCAGGCCGTTGTTTATGCATGTCGGGTTGCCGCCCACTGATTTATTTGGTGTTTTACTTGTCCAATTTAGTATCGTGGGGTCCTAGAGGGGGTATGATAGAAGAGAATGAAGAACATTATGGAGAGTTCGGCGTCCGATCGCCCTCCAGGATAGCGTATACCCGCTCCCCACCTTGTTTTACTGGAGAAGCTGAGCGGTATGGCCCGAAGCCATTGGTATTAATGATGTCAGTTTCTACCAAGATTGCCTGTCAGAGTTGAAGGTGTGTAAACCCTGAATGTTTGTTGCAGTCTAAACCGAGATCACCCTTCCCATCGACTTTCCATTGCAAGTGTTTATTGAAACAAGCTGAAATTTTGCAAGACAGTGGGGCACAAGTACACTTTTCTAGTAGCGCTGGAATTGAAAGCAATAGTATCGAGTATTTTTCTGGCAGTCGGTCCTCTTTATCTTGTGGGTCTAACTTTCTCGGTTTGATCTTCGAAATTTCGATCCACGTTACCTACTTTCATCACCATCATTTTGCCGCTACGCATATGCGTACCTTTTGACGGAGCACACTGTTAGGGGTAGCAATTAGGATAGTTTGGAATGGATGAGATATGTGTTGAGCATGTCTTGTTTTTCGAAGACTGCCGCTTTTCGTTCATTTCCCCTTGTCACTTCGTGATGGAGACAATCTTATATGCTCGAACGCTCCATGGTTTACGAATATATCGGTGTTTATAATGGTAAAAATCTAATAATGTTTCTACATCTCTTTCATTGGGAGCTTGAGGTTAGGTACTGGAACGTATGCATTTGACCACAAGGCCTTTGCTTTGAGGTCGTCCTGAATGCACGTTTCCTGATTTTGGGCTTCCTCGGTCCTGTTACGTCTGAACGGCTGTACTATCAACAAATCATGCTCAAAATACGCAGATTGCTGACACTAAACATCTGCATCAGTAAGTTTGATCAGGTAAAAGCAATAAGCCTTCCAACGCCAACTTAAGGGTGAACAGTTCACTTTGGAGGGTGAAAGCTTAGCACCTGGCCATTTTGCGCCGGCCAGCGTAAAGCACGCTCTTCTCCTACGAGATGCCAAGAGTAATGTTCACTGATATCTTATAAAGAGGATGTGCTGATTAAGCTCTACCACTTCAGAGTTTGGTGAAAAATAGCGCGTTTAAAGGGGCATATGACGCTTCTGAATGACTTCATCGTGCAACGCACAAAGAAGCTTACATGAAATTCGAGGTATTCAGAATATGCTACACTGATTCAATATACAAAAGCAAGACAACATCACTACTTCAAAAATCCTTACACTGATTCAATATACAAAAGCAAGACATCACTACTTCACAAATCCTTCTTAGTGTCGCTGCGTTGAATTTGCCACAGAGACGATAATGGAATGTCAATGCGGAGGACTTTTCATTTGTCTGCTTTTCTCCTTCGGACGACCTACACCGGCCGGAGACCGCAGATGAGCCACTGTAGCCATTCGGTTCGCTGCAACACCTGCCGCAGGGTTCGGTGTGCCAATATATTGAGTGGGCATCGGCGAACATGCAGAGACACCCCCGCCAAGTTGAGCCGGTATTCCACTCGACATAGCAGTGGGCATATTTCATCGTGGTTGCGAGCTCATGACAGCACTCGTAGGATGTTAATAACGCTATGCTCGCGGAAACACCGTAGATCGGAACTAACCCAGAGCAGCCGCGTGTGCGGCGGCGGCAGGCACCATCTGTGTAGCATGACTTTTGTTTTGAGCCGGGCGCCTGAGCTGATCCAGCTCCCATGATGTTCACTGGGGAAGAGGAATAGTTTAGGGGGTGAGGCTCTCTGAATGTCGCGCAGACACTCATGCGCTCCTCGAAGACGTCGTTTTGAAAACTTTGTCGCCTTGACGTAACGATTCGGCGGCTGCCAGGGCAAAGGAATCCGACTGTGACGGTTGTCAGACGGTCCTGCCTTGACAGTTACTTCAACATCAGTTGTCCATCAACCCTAAAAATGGTTTATGGTTGGTCACCTCTAACTTTTTATGTACTTGTAGACCAGCATGTCAATCTTCAGTTTTGGACAGTTTTGTAGCGATTCACGGCTTCGCGGTGCGTACAACATTCATTTATATTTTTATGAACAGCAAGCTAGTCTGGTCGCGATTACTCTTCGTCCATCCACGTGCGTTATCAGGGGTCTCATGAACGGCAAAGCCAGCGTCAACGCATGATGCGACTTTGAAAGAGGTGAATGTCTACGGATACCTATGGCAAACCCAACCACCCTGTCGTGAGTTCTCCTTAGGGTATTTTCGTAGCCGCTTCGTATAGAGCCATTGTGCGGTCCTTCAATAGTGGTCCGAAAACGTCTGGAATATCATCACTTTTCTCTTACTGGTTTCCACACGGCTGATCACAGTTTACAACGCAATCACTTGTAGACTACCACCTATCAATTCCGCCATCCGGCATTTAATTTTTTCGAAGGTGGACACTTTGAGCTGCGTGGACATTTCCTTCGAAGCAAGGCACGAAAGCGCTCCAGTGGGTTCGACTCTTTGGGTGAAATCCACCACTGTGTTACAGTTAAAGAGTCGACGTAATCGATAACGCTTAAAGAGTAACGCGATAAGTTTTCCGTAGTGTATTGCAAGATCAGCGTGCGATTTGTTTACAGATAAAGCGAATGGATATTTGCGATTTTCGCGGGACACTTTATCGGCTTCGGCAATAAAACAGTGTTCGTAAGTTTTCCTTCTGGGAGCGTCACATTCATAATAAGAGGCTGCAAGCACGTTTTTTAGGTTGTGAAATTCTAAGGCGGGAAATGACACCAGAGCCTGACTTTGGGGTGTATAAATCAAACAAAGATTTGTACTCCTCTGGTCAAAAACGGCATGGCTACCGGCGAAGAGAAACTACCAAGCTTGGCGCAAGGCTGACGGTATGTAATAGATTCCTCCAGATCTTGCTGTCTCCAGGCCTCATTTCCGCATTTCATCTTAGATGACTTCAACAGAAGTCCTGATCAGCTGGTTGATCAGTGACCGTCAGACCGTGTGGCTGTACAGTTTTTGTATACAAAAATTGTACTTTCTACATTCGGAGCTGACTTTTTTGGAATAAAGTACAGTAAGTGTAGATTTCCAGAGTAATGAACTGGACCACCGCCAGGGCTCGCCAGTAGGAATTGTGATCCAATAGAACTTCGCTAGGAGTTGATAGGCTGTGTGGAAATGAAGCGTGATTGTGCTCCAAAGTCTGGGTAAGGGCGGCACGAAGAATAGGGTGTGCCAGGGCAAATATTCAAATAACGCGCGAGCGAACTTTCGGAATCTCTGTGGGTGTTCGGGCAAGGTGGGTTCCGCCCGTCCAACAAGCCATAAACTAGCACACAGTCGAAATCTTACCAATCACTGAGACTAGAGAAACTTCAAAATGCAGTAGATAAACAAAGCAATAAATACAAAATACATAGAACTGCCTGTTCAGACGATTTTTAAATTTAATCAGCTACCTTCATATGTCTACATGATAATCAATACTCATCATCATAAATTTGTTGGTGTAACGCAAGTTTTTTAATTCCAAGTACTCTGATCTGACGCGTTGGAGAAATTTAGGGAGAAGGTGATTTCATGTGTCCTTTCCACACAACCAGGCTAAGCGGCACTATACATTGACCGATATCGTGAGGCATTAAACCGCGTGATTTTGCCGATGAAAGCTAAGGGCGTAAAACATAAGGCAGACCCATCTTGGCTAAAGATGAGCCGCACCATATAGTACGTAGGAATATGGCACAAAGTTCATAATAATGAAGAGTCTATGGAATAAACAGGCAATACTTGAAAGATGCTGGCAGGTGTTAGCACAGAGCACCCTTTCAAAAAGTGCAGGCGTCCAAGTTTAACTTTCGTCATCCACAAAACTATGAGTTTCACCAAGTAGCCACTTTCCAGCCGCACATGTCTTAACTCTCTATAATTTCTGTTTTAAACTGTTGGCAAGGTCCTTTGTCAGGACTCCAAGAGCCAGGAAATAAAATATACCTCATCAGAATCTGGTGCACGATCCGTTTTTTACAACCAGCAAATAAATGAACTTTGCTAGGTGGAAAAACACTAAATACGCATAGGGAGTCTGTCCTTCTATGAACTTTGAACTACGAATTTCGCGCTGCTGGCAGATTATTATGTTAGAACACAAAAAATTTTTGTAAGTAGTATCTCCACTGAATCGGTCATTTTGGTATTTTATGGTACTTACATGCGGTAGACAAATGCCTGGAAAACAGGAATATCGCCAAATACATACGCTCGTTTGATCAACTGGGACAATAAAAAATCTCAACCCAGGGGTATATTTTCACACGTCTTCACACTGTAATGTTACTAGTATTGCCTTAGGATGAGTTGTGCTTCCATAGATGAAGAATCTTGAAGCAGGCCTAAGATTCACTCTTGTCCGGTAAGAATTTTACTCTTGTATTCTTGCACATTGTCCCTTTGTAACCTACCCTAGAGTTTCTCACAGGAAGCCATCATTACTTATGTAACTAATTTAGTTGATAATGGCATTAAGAAAATGTGGGTGGTTAACTTCATGGACTTCAAACTCTGCGACTGCAACTTTCGAAATGTTATTACGGACATGATATATTTTCAGTTAGACTTCGACATTACGAAGCATAAGTTTGTGCTACCAGGATTCACAGTTATTATCCCGAGATACTCAGCTTCGAATTCAACTTAAACAGTTTGTGCCTAGGGAACCAAGAAAGGCTTTGCAACAAGGCAATTCTTGAATTAAACTCAGTCTCGCCCTAGGTTTGATCAATCGTTTTTTCAACAAGTATGAAAAATGAGTTTCTAATTCAGAATCAGAATTACTCGTAAATTAAATGACACACTTTGTGATGCGACAAGTGAAGGGAATTCTAATATGAACGGAATCGGAGAATCTAGAAAGCCGGATGGTCTCAACACTGGAAAAACGAACAAAGTTCACCCTATAAAATGACACACTACTAAGCATCTCAGTGATATTCCATGGGAATAAGTGTCGCTATATTTGATACCCTGAGAAAAAATTTCAATATCTGATGGTGGATGCCTGCAACAAGCAAACGAATATGAAAATGCTGGTTCAGGATGGATTACTAATATCAAGAAGTGGTGATCAGGCTTTTTTAGAAATTTAATTTCAGAGTGATTTTGATTCTCGTGACATACAATGAGTGTTTATCATTCACGAGTGGCGCGATGCGCGAATGTATTGCACAAGAACTTTGAATAAAGCAAACCAGTTTTTCTACCACGTCATGTTGGAGTAGTAAAAACAATATTAATTCTGAGGTTCACTATTAGTTAGGATGAGAGTGCGAAATGTCATACAAAATATCCGTGGAGCAACACATTTCTGTTGAGACAGAATGGCATGCCAGATCCCTTCGTTCTTTTGGGCGAGGTTAGTTCAGTAACTCCATTTATACTTACCAGACGTATCACGGGGTCACCCAACTAATCAAACCGCCGGTCAAACAACGATGCCAGATTCGACATACTGTGTACCCATCCTGTTGGTTGCCATTCAACTAAAATTCTAAGCGCTTAATTCATGATAAAATGAACTTTATGCAAATTGAGGTAACCGTTGGATAACCAAGCTTGCCGATAAAGAAGCAGTTTTTGTCCACAGGATTTCTTGCTACGATTTGCTGACACCCAGCGTGCCATACGAATGAGGTTTCAGGATAAAAGTACTCAGTAATTTAACTGATGCCACAAGACTGATCTATAAACTCTACGCCTGAACGAACAGTCCAATAGTAAAACACCACTATAAAACCATAGCTCAAACAAATTGTTGCACCGAAAGTCCGAAAAACTATACTAACTTGCGCGAAATATACGTCTAAATATGTAGCGCGCGACAAGCACAAAGGCTGGTTTACACAAACTGGGAAAATTTCAGCTGGTGTGAGCAAGAACAGTTGTAGGCGGTTGCGGAACCTGTAGCGCTCATGCTCACATCATTCTCTTTTGAACGGTTATTCCTCTATCTTGGCGTAATCATTCTGGTGAGCCCAAACCAACGGGGAGCACTGGACTCGAGTTTGCTCTTATTTAGTGTTTGTTAGCTGTGCATATCCTTGGTCGTATCGGTACTTGAACTCCGGACATCCAACATGTGAGGCAAGCATGTTACCACTGTTCCGCCAACTCACTCTGGATGCATCTGGATCCTTATTTCTGAACGAAAGTACGTGTTTACACTTGAGTGATGTCAGTTTGCCTAACACATGGAACACGACGATCCAGTAATTGTCATGGTTGTGTTGATCGGCCGCCGCACCTGTCAGGACTTCCTAGTCAGGTATCAACGCAGATGCTTTGTTTACGACAGTTCAGGCAGGTCCATACACATGAGGGCGTTTGTTGAAACATGCTCGAACTAGTGAAAATCCAAAAAGTCGAGAAGCATAGTTATTCCTCTATCTTGGCGTAATCATTCTGGTGAGCCCAAACCAACGGGGAGCACTGGACTCGAGTTTTGCTCTTATTAGTGTTTGTTAGCTGTGCATATCCTTGGTCGTATCGGTACTTGAACTCCGGAC